TGAGCTGTGATTGTAACACTGCACTGCAGCCTGCATGACAGAGCAAGACCACATCTCAAAAATAAGCAAATAAATAAACTTGTTATATCTACAAGATTTTTTTATAATCCTTATAACCACAGCACAAAATCATATAATCAGTTCATTAAAAATAAAAATCAAATTAATACATAATACTTAATCATTTAACCACAGAGTATTAAATGAAGAGAGGATTCTCAAAACAACCTGAAAATAGGCAACAGAAGTAGTAAATCCGTACTTAGCAATAATAACACTAGACGTAAATGGTCTCAATTCTCAATTAAAAGTCATAGTGTGGCTGACTGGATAAAGAAATAAGATTCAACCATATGCTGCCTTTAAGAAACCCACATCACCTATAAAGACACACACAGACTGAAAATGAAGGGGTGGAAAAAGATATTCCATGCATCTGGAAAACATACAGGCAAAAAAGCGGATGTAGCTATGCTTGTATTCAATCAAATAGACCACAAATTTAAAATTGTAAAAAGAGACAAAGAGGGTCACTCTATAATGATAAAGGGATCCGTTTAGTAAGAGGATATAACAATTATAAATATCTATGCACCCAACACCGGAGCTCCCAAGTATATAAAACAAACATTAATAGATCTAAAGGAACAGGCAGACTTAATTACAATGAGAGTAGGGGACTTCAACACTCCACTCTCAGTAACATATAGATCATCCAACAGAATATCAACAAAGAAACAACAGAGTAAAACTATACACGAGACCCAATAGGCCTAATTGATATTTAAAGAACATTTCAGCCAACTGCTACAGAATACACATTCTTTTCACTGAACATGGAACATTCTCCAGAATAGATTATAGCATAGGACCTAAAACAAGTCTCAACAAATTCAAAACGTAGAAACCGTATCAAGTATTTTTTCTGACCACAGTGGAATAAGACTAGAAAGCGATAACAAGAGAAACCTCAAAAAATACACAAACACATGGAAATTGAACAACATGTTCCTGAACAACCAATGAGTCAATGAAGAAATTAAGAAAGAAATTTTATGGCCGGGCATGGTGGCTCACGCCTGTAATCCCAGCACTTTGGGAGGCCAAGGCGGGCAGATCATGAGCTCAAGAGATCAAGACCATCCTGGCCAACGTGGTGAAACCCCGTCTCTACTAAAAATACGGAAATTAGCTGGGCATGGTGGTGGGCACCTGTAGTCCCAGCTACTCAGGAGGCTGAGGCGGAAGAATCTCTTGAAAACAGGAGGCAAAGGTTGCATGGAACCGAGATCACACCACTGCACTCCAACCTGGCAACAGAGCAAGACTCTGTCTCAAAAAAAAAAGAAAGAAAGAAAATAAATTTTAAAAATTCTTGAGACA